CCCCAATTCCCCAGCGCTGTTCCTATCCTCCCAATTCCCCTATAAAAATCTTTTAAAAAAAAACATTCTTTCAGAAACCAATGTATGCACACACATATTCACATGATTTTATGTAGAAGGACAATACTAAACATGCTATTCTATAAAATCTGTTTTTAAAGTCCAACAATATGTCAAGGAGATACTTCCGTGTAAATTAACTGAGATATACATAAGCTTTCTTACAAGCCACATGATATTCCTTAGTTTGGGTCGATAGATTGAATTTAATTAACCAATCTTTTTTTTTTAAGATTTTTTTTTTTTTAATTGGGGAATTGGGGGATGGGAATGGCGCTGGGGGGATCCGAACTGGCGCCCTCTGGCGTCCAAGCCAGCTCTTAACCAACGCGCCACCAGCCCTAATTAACCAATCTTTTATCAATGAATGCTTAATTTTTCTCTAACATATTGTTACCATAAAAAAGTCATATTGAGCAAATATCCAAACAGGAAGACAGGGCATCAATGCACCAAGGTTTTTGCATTTCTCTCAATAAAACCACAACAGCTGAAATGGAATAATATAAGGCAGTAAGAGTCATAATGGCACTCTGGTTATTCAAATCACAATTAACAGCTCCCACCAAAAATTTAAGTGTACATACCTTTTGGCTCAATGCATAATAGCCAGAGAGCTTTTTTTTTTTTTTCTTTTTAAAGATTTTTATTGGGGAATTGGGGGGATGGGAACAGCGCTGGGGAACTGGGGGAAGGGGAACAGACAAGTTGCTGTCATTTTTGTTCTTCAGTCTAGTTGTGGAGGACGCCGCCTCACCGGCCCAAGCTGGCACCATCATTGCGCCCCTCCCGGGTAAGGCAGATCAGTCGCTGGCTTCTGGACGGCCGCTCACTGCGGCTGCTGGCAGCTCACACTGGCTGCTGGCTATACACGGTAGCCCATGGCAACCCAATGCCACAGGGACTGCAGCCTACGCAGTCGCCGGCAACTCACAGAAGCCCAGCTCTAGGCTGAGCTGCTGTTCAGCATCTCAGCTGTGGAGGGCAGTGTCACTGGCCCTCATATGTGGGATCCGAACCGGAGCCTTCTGGCGTCCCAAGCCAGTTCTTAACCATCGCACCACTCGGCCGGCCCAATAGCCAGAGAGCTTTTACAAATTAATAAGGAGAAACAATAAATTAAGCCAAGGACATAAACAGGGAATTCACATAAGAAATATAAATGGCTACTAAGCATATGAAAAGATGCTCAGTGTAAAAATTAAGAGATATAAATGAAAACCTGTATGATTTTAATTTGCATAGCAACATTTCACTGTCGGTGGGAATATAAATTTGTTCAGACCTTTTAAAGGGTAACTTAGTAGTATTTATCAAAACTTAAAATATTCAATACCTTTGGCAATTTCACTCCTAGATAAATGTTCAAGGACATTAACTGCAGCATTTTTTTAAATAGCCATGGCTAGAAATAACCCAAATGTTAATCAATAATGAATCTCATAAGTGAAATATTATACATCAACACAATGGGATACCATATGCTATTTAGAATAGTATTTGACATACGTATATCTAAGACTGGTATTGGAAAGATCTTGAACTGTTTGTTAATAATTTATTGGGGTGAGGGGAATAAAAAAGGGAAGAGAGAGCATTAATGAAGAACTTTCATTTTCTAAATAATTTTAAAAACATTTAAAAGTTTTAGAAGTAATTTAGGTTATTTTTTCTGATCTTAAAAGAATAGCCACTTGATTTGCAGTATATTTGAAAAGATCACATATAGCTATAAATATAAAAGAAATACCTGTAGGCAAATTAAACTTAATCATAAATGAAATCTAAAATGTATAATCAACTATTCTTATCCATTTCCCCCAAACAGAAAATACTTACAAATTTTATCTTATGTTTTAGCTCTGGATTGATAGTCCCTCCAGGTCCAATTTTTGCAATAACTGATTTGAAGGTGTTCTCCAACTATGAAAAAAGAAAAAAATTTCAAGCTACAATTAAAAAAAAATCAAAGATAAATCTGAACAGCATGTAAAGAAAACAACTATCAAAGGAAATGTATTTCGATCAAATGGATAAAATACTATTCTTAAGAGGCACTGTAACATTTCTTACCATATAAAATACATTTGGAGTAGCCGGAATCTTTACAAAACTAAACACTGAAATTTTCCAGGATAATTAATATTCTCTATAAAATTTATATTCTAGAGTCTTCAAATCTCAATTCCATACTCTTACCCAGAAAGGATTTTTGATACTAACTTTCTTCTGTTTATGAAAGTATTCGATGTTTACTAAACACATACTTAGTGAATGCCTAATGCAGGGAAGAGATGGATGGTGGAAGGTGGCTGGGAGGGGGGACGAGTGTGAGCCTGGGCACTGGTGGGATGACTGTCTGACCCTGAAGGGCGGGAAGGAGATGCTCTTCAGTTGTAATAAAAGGGAAGAACCAGTAGGGATACAGAAAGGCTCTGTGAATGTGAGTTCAGAAGGTGGAGAGAGTTACTATCTGATGACTTCAGTATTCGGAGTTCAGAAGCAAGGCCCACTCCTAAGAATAAAAGGAAAGCGGGGGGGTGCTCATACAGTTGAGAAAGTGAAAAAATAAAGTTGAGGAAATAGATGATTATCTAAACTCAATAGGTAGGGAGTAAAAATAGGAGAGGCCTCAGTTAAGATAGCAGGGATCTGAGGATTTTAGTAGAGAGAAGCCAATGGCACAGGGGGGCCCCAGTAAGGTAAAAAGGCGATGCATGGGAATAACTGAAAAAATAAGCTGGAAGCACAGGAGGTTATGATCAGAGAGGAGCATGGAGCATATCCAGATAGCCAAGGTCCAGTGAACAGCCACGGCAGTGGTGACCTAAAGCAGAATGACAGATCATGAGTTATGTTTGAAGAAGCAAGTAAATATAAAAAGATATATATTAGAAAAGACACAAAGATATAAAGAAAAAACACAGATTACCTAAAATCCTATCATATAGACACAATCGTTATCAATATTTTTCCCTCTATACTTTTTATTTTGTAATCTTTTTTTTTTTTTTTTTAGCTGAGCCACCCTGCCACCTGTTGGCAGCTCAATGGCAGCTCAGCTCGAGCCGGGAATCAAACCGCTGTTGCTCAGAGCTCGCACTCTTGACCAAGCTCTTAACCAACTGAGTCACTCGGCCGGCCCTAATCTTTCTTCTTATTGTCACTTGGCCTGTCACTACTTACAAACTGTCACCTTTTAGGTCTGTATCTTCATCTGAAAAATGAAGATAATCTCAATATGTCAAGAGTTGACAGGAAAATGGGATGGAAGGGAGCGTAGAGTCCTATGATTATATCACTAGCTTTCACAAAAGGCCTCAGCCTTATGTTCTTTTGCTTTTCTATCCACCATGAGATAATTCCCTAAAGCTCTTCCAGTGAACAATAAGAGAACCTAAAGATAACTGATTTTTCACATCCCTACAGGCTCCTACCATCTGAAGATTCAGTACAACAATTTATTAAATTATCACTGTGCTAGGTGTTTCAGGGGACCAAAAAAAGGTCATTTTTGACAGCATCATTCCTCTTAAGCCACTTACAATTAAGTAGGGAAATAAGATAAATGTATAAACAGCTATAGCCTAAGGCTGACTCTAAGCACCATTAAAGAGGTACAAAAGTGCAGCAGGATAAATCAAATTACGCTATAAATATACAGGAGGCTTCCTTTTAGAAGGGTCAAAAAGGATGGGGAAAATATTGCAGAGAGAGGTGGTACAGAGGGCAATGAAGGTAGAAGGAACTCCTCATGAACAAAGGAAAAGAAATAGTTTACCTGAAGGCATTAGGGAAGTAGTGGAAGAAAAAACTGGAAAAGGTAGACTGAAGTCACACTACAGAATACTTTAAACACCAAACTAAGGAGTTTTTCTTGGTTATGTAAACAAAAACCAATACCAGAGATTTTTAGCAAGGGAGAGACATTATCAGAATTTTAATCTGGACAACCAGTTAGTTAGGAGACCACTGCAACTCTCTGGGCAAGAGTTTTAACTAGGGTGCTAAGAGAGTAAGAATAGAAAGAGAGAATACTACAATGGTGGACTCCACAGAAATTCGGAAACAATACAATGGAGAGAAAGGAACTGCTGGTTCTACAGGGATGAATAATAAAGAGACGACGGAAACAGCCTCACAAGTTTTGTACAGAAAGCTAACAGACTTTGGAACATAGAAGGTAGGCTTTTGCTGGTTTTTAATCAATTCCAAGTGTTTGGGAAAACAGGGAGATAAGTGGCAGGATGGTGAATACAAATGTGATTTGTCTCTATGAATTACGGCTTGTAACAGGTCAGCAACCTATGGCTATTGGTCAAATATGGCCTACCATCTGCCTTTGTACAGTCCATGACCTAAGAACGGTTTAGACATTTGGGGGAAAAGTAATATTTTGTGACACATGAAAATTATATGAAATTCAAATTTCAGTATCCCCCAATAAAGTTTTATTGGAACACAGCCACACACCATTTACGTATTGTCCAAGGTTGCTTCAGCACTACAAGGGCAGAGTTGAGTAATTATAATAGAGACCATTTGGCTCTCAAAGCTTCAACTATGTACTATATGGCCTTTTAGAGAAAATATTTGCCAAGTCTGGGCTTAAGATGTCAAAATGATGGGCTCTTAGCTAGCAACAGAATGCTTCTCAAGAAGATGACAAAAAAAAAAAGATTTTTTGCCTCTAGCTTAATGATTATATTAAGCTGACTTTAAACTGAACAGAGTGAGGGAGAGTTCTTAAAGTCTAGGTAATCATGGGGATAGCTGTAATCAGAGGGTAGAAATTATTATAATGTGTGTTTGTGTGGGGGGGAGTAAGAGTAGGAGGTGATCAGTGATTGACATAAGGAAAGTAATCAAGGGAGTCCCTGATTTCAAGAATGCTTTAGTCTCAGATGCCCATATACCAAACACAAAGAATGGACAATAAATCAAGTGAACAAAAGATTATAATATAGTGGCATATATAAAGATGGGAAGTGCCCCCCAAAGAAGCCATATTCAGTTGGGAGTCTACAGGGCCAGAGAAGAGGCAGGGAAGAGCTTTGAATCAGAGATACACTTCTTAGAAAAATGGACAAAAACATGAATAGGCAATTGATAAAAATTACCACTAAACAGCTAATAACTAGAAATATAGTTATTTGTCTATTAAACTGGAAAATTATTTTTACAATAACGCCCATTCACTCGTCCAACAAATATGTACTGAACATATACTATGTGCTTTGCACTGTATAAACAGCTATCCAGGGGTATATTATATACACAGGGGTAAATAAACTGGACATGGTCACCGCCCCCATGGAACTTGTAGTCTAGTGTGGGAAGACAAACAGGAAACAATCATGTAAGTAAATATATAATTACAATGATGATAAATGCTATGAAAAATCCCACAGAGTGTCATGAAAGGATAACACACCTGAAGGTGTCTGGAGAGCAATGGGAGATCTAGCTTAGAGCGGAGTTAGTAAGGAAGAAGAGGTCAGGGGAGAGTTTTCTGAAGAAGTGTCCATTTAAGGGCCGGCCGAGTGGCTCAGTTGGTTAAGAGCTCGCTCAAGAGTTTGAGCTCTGAGCAACAGCAGTTCGAGTCCAACCCNAGGCAAACCAATGGATTTTAACATAGTAGAGTTAAAAAGTTCAAATTCCACAGTGCAACTAATCTCCAAGAAACCACTACCTGTCAAGTTATGGTATACTATCAAAGAACATTCACAATTTTTTGAAAAGGCTATTAAAATACTCCTTTCCCAACTATGTATCTGGGTGAGGCTTGGTGTATCCTAAAACAACAGTATCTCAAGAGACTAAAGACAGGAGCAGGTATTAAAGTCCAACTTTCTTCTATTAAGCCAGATATTAGAGATCTGCAAAAATGTAAAACTATGCCACTCTTCTAATTTCCATAAATAGTTATTTTTCATAAAAATGTTATTTGTGTTCATGCAGATAGATTTATCATTATTTTTTAACAAATATTTTTTAAAGTTTTGCAGTTTTAATTTCTATATGATAAATATCAATAAACAATGGGTCCTTAATTTTTAAGAGCCCTGAGGCCAAAGTGTTTGAGAGCTGCTCATTTAGAATGAGATACCTGAAAAATACATTGAAAACAACCGACTCCTACCGCATTTCAATCATCATGTCTTCAAGTAGCTCTGAGGAATCTCTGCTATAGGTTCGGATGTAGAACTGACTAGGAGAGATGACGTACTCCACGAAGACTCCCACGAGAGTGCTGGTGTCTAATGGTGGCAGTCTACATAACTGCTTGTCCCGCACGGCATCTGGTGGCACATCATGACTTGCCATTGCCAGGCTGAGCTGTGACTTGTCAATTTCTACTTGCTACAAGTTAGAAAAGAAATCAAAGAACCCACTCTAAGTCTTTGGGGGACATTTCAAACTCTATGACAACATTTTTCAAAGAATAGTTCATGAGTTGCCTTTATAAGCATCACCTGGGAAATTGTGAAAATGAAAATTCTTAGGCTTTAGCCCAGACTCACTAATTCAAAATACCTGGGAGCGAGGCTCATGATTATGCATTTGAAAAATTCCCTGGTGATCCTTACCTACATTAAAATATGAAAACTACTGCCTATGACATTAGGTAAAGAATTAAAAGTGTGTTACACAACTGCCCTATACAAAATTAAAAACATGGCACTTCCAACATTCAGGCTGAACTAAGATTCTCATCCTACACAACCCTACCAACCAAAGTAACTTGAAAGAACGGATTTANGTGTGAACTGGAACACCTCTTAGGCAGGACAACCTAACTACATGTACTATAAGCCACGAAGGCACACATTCTTTTTGATGCAGCGATTCCTGTTCTAGAAATGTAGCCTGTGGAGTAATGGAAATACGTGCAAACTTGAGCAAGATTGTCATCATAAGGTTACTTTTAACAGCAAAAACTAGAAACAGCCTACATGCTTAACCTAGGTTACAAGTAAAATAAGTCCTGACACATCCATACTGACATTAAAAAATTAGGTTATATTACAATATTTAACAATGTGGGATGTTCACAATGCAAAATGACGGCTAAAAAAAAAGCAGGTCACAAACCTGTACCAGAGTTATTCTAATTTTTTTTTTCAAAAAAAGAAAACGTCAAATTTTCTGAGTGATAAAAGTATAGGTGGTTTTTATTTTCCTCTGTGCTATCCTGTATTTCAAATCTCTGCAATCAGTCTGTATTTGCTTTTGTAATAAGTTTTTAAAAACATACATGCCTAGGTGATATTTAGAAACAAAAGGTAAAAGCATTTTAGAAAGAAGATGCATGAGACTAAAAAGAGAAATAAATAGAAGTTACATCTTAGAGGAATATACTACAGACCATTTGGCCATATGATGAAATATTAATACATTTTTAATAAAGATCACAAAATTGGCACAGACACACATGCAAAAGCAATGCTAGGTCTCTCATTTGACTAAAAGCTAGGCAATATGGAATTTGACTTGCCATACTAAAGATTTCATCAAAACTCGGGAAAAACAGGTAGGGAGCAGCTAATCTAAATTGGCCAGAGGAAACAACTTCCAGAAAATTGCATTAATGAACGCACTGAATTGCTCCTTCTGACCGTAATTGTTTAACATGTCCAGTTGCTTGTCCAGGACACTCTTCAAACGACTGCTGAGGGGCATCCCAGTCGGGACCCCCCTCTCATTTCGAAAGCTGTAACTTTCTGCTCTAATAAAGCTATCCTCTGCTACAAACTTAAAAAAGATTGCTGAGCCAGGTTATCAAGTGAAATAAAAAACTTTTTTTCTTACATGCAATACCAAAGCCTCTACTAGTTGTAAAGACTATCAATTATTTCAGTGCAAATTAAGTTAGGTGGCAACTGAGACCCAGCCCTGATTTTGCATTCATTTAAGAGTAGATCTTCTATAATTCCAGGTTTACCTACTTTAAATCTCATGCTGAATATTACAGTCAAGTTTTCTAACGTGTAAGACCAGGGTAGGATGGGTTGCTAGATGGTGTTAAGGCTAGAGAGCCTAGAAATGCCAGATTCTTGTTCCTTCACCAAACACTCTTACAGGCACTGAAGCAAAGTAACACCATTGATTTGTTAGCTGTGATCTAAGGCTATACACTAATGCAGAGAATTCTGATGAGCTGGGCTGGACAGAGCATCTGAGGCTTCACTCACTAAAAAATACAGCTAATCTATACTCACCCATTCACATTTTCATTCCTCATCTGGACTTCCTCTCAAGAGGTCAAAATAAATGAACAGAATTTGGTAAAAAGATTATTCATATCTTGCAAAACAGGCTTTAAATTGTTCTAAACCATTTGCTTTGTGAAACAAAGCACAGCAAAGGGCAAGGGTAGGGTACTAATGACCAAGCGTGGCTGTTCCTCTTGCAGGTGAGAAATGAATCAACACTAATCCTCATTTTACACAGTAACACTTGACTTTTTTTCTTTTTAATACATGTTTTCCTTATGAAAAAAATAACATGTTCACTGTGGAAAAACATAAAGATGATCAAAAAGAAAATAAAAGTCTATAAATTTACAATTTAAATTTAATATTTTTATATATTTATTCTTTTCCTATGCACATAAAGAAACACATAAACTTGCAGAGTTTTGAGGGAACACCTAGCAAACTGACAGATCTATAATTCTGAAGAAATAGAAAGTTGTACTTTTTATAAATAGGATTAGGTAGGATCTGCTAATTATGTAGAGTCTGTTCTGCTAGGAAATTAAAATATATAGTTTAGGAATTAGAGCCCACTCCTTAGAACAAAATTTAAACAGTTCTGATGGCAAGAAATTGAACTGGAAGTGAAATGCCAGGAGCAAAGGTCCTAAACTGCATTTATTACTGGCTGGTTCCAACAGTTCTGTTTCCAACAGTTCAATAAGGCACTTTTATATCTTGAGTTTAATTTCCATGTGCTTATTCTGACCTCAACTTATTTTTTTTCTGACCTCAACTTAGGTTGTTATCTTCCTAACTTAACCAGGCCTTTATCGGTTATATTCCAGTAGTTTTTATTCAAAGTCCTTCAGCATTATAATCACAGAAAAATACCAGGATTCTAGTGCTCGGACCCAGCCATTCGGGTGAAGATATTCATGAGTTAACTTGTAAATATGCTTCTATAACTTTGGTGAGAAGCTGGGCCTACAGATAAAGATTTGGAAGTCATCTGCAGAAAATAGTAGAAACCATGGAGTTGGCAAAATTGCACTCTTTCCTCACGGCCACTTCTCACTTCTTACTAATCCACACAACAACAGAAAATGCTTAAGTTAAATCTGAAATCAGTGAATGGCCTGAATTTTAAAACGTCAGCTTCTCCATCAGATCTAAGTAATAACCATTGAATTTTAATACATTTTCATTGTATTTATATCTCCAAACTCCAATATCTCACCTGGTTTAATTTTTCAGTGTGATTCAGCCTTGAAGTCTCCAATACATTTAACTTAGAAGTCTTTTCCATGTTTAATATTTGCTTTGGCGGTTCCATGTTTGAAGTGGGTTGTGAAAAGCGTGCCTTTGCTACTGGAAAGCCTGGGGAATATGATCCTTCTTGTTTCATTCTAAAATGCTGGGTAAAAAATTTACCTTTTGTGAATAAAAGGAGAGAAAAATTGTCACTAGAAATTTCTAGTTTGTTTTCTGGTGGTTATACATAGAGGCTACTGTGACTTAACTGCCCTCAACTTAGAACTAAAATTTAAGGAAAATAACCTTACATTTTCAACATTAAGCCACAAAAATTTATATAATGAAGTGATTAGTCATCTATAGAAGAAAACCAAGAGATCACAAGTGTGTTACTGAAAAAATTGGGACTACCTACAACTCCACTTAAGGTCACCTGAATATAATTACAGAGAGGCAGGATTCAACAGGCAAAAATCTGAAAAGCTGTACCCTGTTTAGGAGAGCAAAAAGTCTCTAAGTAAGACGTCTGTTTAGAATTATGCTTCTCAAATTGGATAGCCACCTAGCAGTATGTGTGTGTAGTGGGGTGGGTTGGGGGGAATGAAAAGCTATAGAATAAAGGATATTATTCTAGAGTATAGATTTTTTTTTCTTCAAGATTTGTAGGGTGGGGAATACCACTGGAGAGGTGTCTATTATACAACATGATAGATGTAGCACTAGACCTCACCTCTTTCTTTATCCTAAGATCAAAATCACCAAAAAAGTGAATTATTTCCAAGATATCCTGATGATTGGAAGAAAGGGCCATATATTGGGAACATGAAACTCTTTTAAGTTTAATAGCATGGGTTAATCTCCCTGAGTTTGAGCACCTGAAGAATACTGATAGGGTTGAGGGCTAGACCCTAAACACTCAGTGGCCCCCACGGCCTTCCCTAACCAGACCATGTAACTCCCCCGGGCATATCCTCCTACAATTACATTACCCACCACTGTTTAAATACTGGTTTGTAAGTTCATGACATTCTCATGGTTCACCTATATCAATCTAAATACAGATTTTGGAGAGTAAGAAAAATCACTGAAATAGGCATAGAATCCCCCCAATAGGCTCAGTGCATAGATTCTATACTGTCGAGGGTCTAGAGAAACACTCTACAAATGATCATATTGGTCTTTTGAGCCTCTGGGAAGGACAGTGATTGGGGAGGAAAAGCACTGGATAGCAGTAACAAGAGCTGGGTATCTAATCCTGGCTGTACCACGTTTCCAACCATGTGACTTTGGAAAAGTCATTTCGCTGCCTGAGCTTCTGTATCCTTATCAGCAAGAGTCACTCACCCTTCTTGTCTATGGTATGGCAACGAGAACCCAAGGTAAAATGCTATACAAATAAGGTGGTTATCATTACACTACATAAATGACTGCAGTGCCTGCTATGATATCAAAGATCAGTGATGGCAAAAATCAGATGGCAAATGCTATTAACCAGTATTATTTTTTAAACTTTTCATTTTTCATGTTATATCTTCTTTACATGAACACACAGAACTAATGTTCATTTACAGGGCTCTAGAGAGAGCTGAGCTTGTGTTTTTATAATGGCTACTACTTAGTATGAGCTTGCTAAATGCCAAGAACTTTACAGACCTCATCTCATTTAATCCTCAGCACAACTACAAGAAGCAAGTATTATTATTTCAGTTCTAGAGATGAGGAAACCAATGCTCAGACATTTTAAGTAACTTGCCTGGGATCACTCAGCTAGTGAGTTATAGAGCCAGGATTCAACTTCAACAAATTGGCCCTTCCACACTCTATGAGTCACGACTGCTCCAAAAATTTGCTCATCCACAATACAGTTACCAGTGCTAACATGCTTACCTGCTGGCCATCCTCTCTGCTTTTCCTCTGATACGCTCTTCTTTAGCGTCAACAAAGAACCTGCTCTGGTCTGCTCTACAGAAATGACATCTGAGGCAGCATTCAGCACTTCAAATATAGACAGGAACCCATACTGCATGTACTGGAATGATCGTCCAAATCGCCTGGCAAATGCTTTTTCAAAATCAGAAAGGAGAACAGGAGACAATGCCAAGAGGTCCTTCAACTCACTCTTCACAACAGCTGGAAGAATGGGGGGCACCCTTCCTCGGTAAGGTGCTCGCCGAAAAGAGCTTGGCCCAGAGCAAACAATGGCCCTTCCTTTCTGCATGGAGGTTTGAACTTTATGGCTGCTCCTCTGTCTTGCGACTAAATTTGCTATTCCTTTGGTGTATTCATCTGGAATGGCTAAAGAGATGTAAAGAAAGAAATCATATTTAGGTGAACATTTACTCCCTTCTTTATCTTTTGCATCTGTGGTTATGTGGGCTTTTTTTTTTTTTTAAACTCTCCCAGGAGCTGTGTAGCTAGGCCACATGGTAAATACCAACGCTTGGTTCTTCCATTTTTTGCATTTTGGACAACAGCTATTAGTTCATCTACCAGAGGATAAAGACAGATAGGTAAAACCCAATATATCATCATTACTGACTCCTGAAAGGTTTGAACCTCTGGAGATGAACAACCAACTTCCTGCAATTGTTTTTTTGTGTGCTTCGTGGAATTCAGAAAATTGTAACTAAAATGTACCATTGTTATGTTTCTCCCAACTTAAGGTGCAATCATCTGAAATCATATGCAAAATGCAGCTTTTGTGAAGGCTCATTTTCTGGGGAAAGGTTTCTTAATTTGGCTAAAGCTCTAACTTTGCCCCCATAACCTCAAAGGAGTCTATGATTGACCCCCCACCCCCATCCCCTGCAAAAAAATTAAAATCCCCTGCCTAAGATGCAGGATAATTGCTAAAAACAGTTCTTGGATAAGTGTTTATTTTTACAGACCTTCAAACCTTAACCTACCTTTTAGTATTACAGTGCCATTCTCACAGGGGCAGACACTGACAACATCAGGCATGTCCAACACCAGCTCCATAGTGGAACGATACCCAAGGATTCGGAGTGGTAAATGGTTGCCAACCATCAAAAGGTACTCCTTTTCCAACTGCTGTGGGGTCAAACCATCTTTGGCGGAAATGAGAAGCGACCTTATTTCTTTCCTCAGGCATTCCTGTACGCGCTCTTGTTCAGACATTGCACCCTACAGGATTTAAGACAGAAACGCTGCTCATGGGGAAAAGCAGGCACCCCCCCAAGATGAAAAAAGGCAAGTTCAAAGCCACCAACAGTGGGATATAAACAACTGAGATGGGAGTTTGTCAAGGTGGTGAGGCAGGCGCAATCTCACGAGGAGCCTCTGAATCTTGGGTGTCGCAAAGCCTCCCCGCAATGCTCACTCGACATCTCGAGCTGGGTTGATGAACTTAACGTTGTTGTCTCAAGAAATCACTGGCGCCGGCTCTTTGTGTGAGCAGTCCAAGTTCCGAAGCGTTAACTCGGGTTTATTTGGGGTCTTACTAACCTATCTACTCAGAACGGACTCCGGGAACCAGGGCTGGGAATGAAGCAAACGCAAAATGGCCTTCGCCCCGTGGCTCCAGGTGAAGCCGCTCGCCCCGGGAATACGTTCTCCAGCCTAAACAGACGGGAGGCTCCCCGCTTCCTCCGACCGACGTCCCCTTCGCCCACCCCCTCTCCACCTGGCCGGGATGAGAAGCCCCCTTTCCCGCCCGCAACGTCTCACGGCCCCCGGTGGCGTGGGGAGGGGTCCCTTCCACCTGCCCCGGGGACGGCCCACCACCCGGGGTGACAGAGGCCGTCGGGAGGAGTACAGGGGAAGCGCCCTTTGCGGCCGACCCCGTCTGGCCGCCCCTCACCCGTCTCGCCCCGGCGCCCGCGCTGCCGTTGTGGCCCGAGAGGGTCAAAGGCGCCCTCCGCGGGCGCGCGGCTGAGGAAAAGCAGCGCCGCGGCGGCCCGCGCGCCTGCGCACCGCTGCCCGACGGCCGAGCGTGCGCCGCAGCGCCGCGTTCCAGGCCGAAGGCGCGCGGCCCTCGGGGCCGTTGGGCCGGGGTGGCCGCTCCGGGGTCCAGTCTAGGGTCCTTGCCAGTCTCAGGGCCGCTTGTCCGGGCTCCCAGGCGGCTCCCGGGCAGCGAACGCTGCCTTCCGGGATCGCCGGCGCGTTCCTCCTTCGACGTGGTTGGGAGACGTGAGGTGGGACTGGAGCGCGAGAACCTTCCCAAGCACCTCCCAGGCAGGGGCAGCTGGGAGAAGGGTTCTTAACTGGGGGGTGCCTTGTGCCTCAGAATCACCTGTGGAGCTTATTTAAGGGTGGGGGAAAAAAGATGCCCAGGTCTGATCAGCAGAGATTCTGATTCAGTGGGTCTAGGTCTACTAGGGGAAATGACAGGCAATTCTGATGTTTGGTGGAGAATCACTGCAGAGCTAGAGGAATGGATGGGCCGAGAAAAGCTTCCTGGATGAGTAGAGAACATTGCAGGTGCCCCTGGAGATAAGAGAGCTGGGGAACTAAAGGAGGTATTTGGGGAAATTAACTGGGGGTGTGTTTACTGGATGGGTGGAACGAGCAAGATTTAAGATTTATAAGGCCCTCAAAAACCAGAAAACAGTAGTTTAGCAGGTATGGAATAGAAAGGGATAGCATAAAAAGTTTTACCTTAATGTACGACCTAATTAAAGGGACAAGACAAACCAAATATAACCAAGGAATTTGAATCAAAAAGGAAACCTGGGCGGGCCGAGTGGCTCAGTTGGTTAAGAGCTCGCTCAAGAGTTTGAGCTCTGAGCAACAGTGGTTCGATTCCTGACCCGAGCTGAGCTGCCGCTGAGCTGCCAACAGGTGGCAGGATGGCTCAGCTAAAAAAAAAAAGGAAACCTGATCTAAAATCCCATGACATAATAAATCCCCCCCAAAAAGCTCTAGGGAACAAAATGTTCCATCAATGAGCCAGGAATATTGAAGAATCCCTGCAAGACAGAAACTAGAAAGGATTTATGAGCTGCTATACTCGCATGTAGCAGAATGGACAGGGCTACATAGCAAATTAACAAAAAGGGAAATGAGGGGACACAAAGAATGGATCCAGACATTCCGACATCTGAATAACAGGTGTTATAGAAACAACAGAAAGAATGGTAGTGAGGGTTGGGGGGTTTAAAATGTCCAAGATATGAATAAAAACACAAATTGTCAGATTAAAAGGGCCCACTAAGTTCTTAGAAAAACTAATGAAAAAGATCCCATCCTAGACAAAGCTTACTGTGTTTCCCCGAAAATAAGACCGGGTCTTATATTAATTTTTGCTCCAAAACACAATTTCATTCATTTATTCATGTACAAAAACCTACATTTATTCAAATACAGTCATGTCTGGCTGACGATCTCAACTGGGGCTTATTTGTGGGTAGGGCTTATATTACGAGCACCCTGAAAATCATGCTAGAGCTCATTTTCTGGTTAGATCTTATTTTCGGGGAAACACGGTAGGAGAAAGGGAATAGAGATTTTATATAGAAATAGGTTACCTACAAAGCAATAGAAATTGGATTGCTGTTGGATTTCTCAATGGGGCAATATCTTCAAAGCTGAAACTGAAACCCTTTAACCAGCCAATTAAACATTCAAGTGGGAGAAAAGGCAAAACATTTTCAGACATGTAAGGATTCAGCAAGTTTATCATTTCACTAACTAGGGAATGACTCCTGCATGAACAATGAGTTGAAAAAACACATTATCCCAGATACTCATCCCCAATTCTCTGAGATAATAGGTAACACATATTTAGCTCTCACTACATGCTCTTTATACAGATTATCCAACTTTCTTCCCCGATACTCTGAGAAAGGCACAGTTATGAACCCCATTTAAAAGCAAAGAAACTGATAGACAAACAAGGATATAACAAAAAGAGATGGACAATAAAAAACATACACTTAAGATTCAATCTAAAAAGTTACTGGTGTATAGTACGGGGGGGAAAAAGATTTTTAAGAAGATATTCTGGAGCTAAATCCCAAATCAGTAACTGTAAATCGAGTGTCAGGGGTTGTTTGGGTTGCTTCAGTAAAGCGACCCCACTTGGAAGAGTAGCTACAATTGGAATCCTCACTTACTTGCACTGTCTTTTGTGGTGACTAACCTGGGAAGTGAATGGGAATGAGGTGGGAACCATCACACCTGGGTCTGTCACACCTTTGATGGTGACACTCACCTCTGCAATTCTCCAGGTACGTGTTAATGCTTTTGACATACTATTTTAGCCCTCCACTTGGCATTTTCTACCAGAATAGCCCTTACTCAATGAGTGAATGAGCCAATGTAGGAATTCTGTCAATTACTAAGATGAACTATTCCAGCTATTCACTTGGCAAGTAAGGTACATAACCAGAGGATTAATTAATTCACAGCTCCACTAGCCCTGCACAAAGGTGAACTTGGGTCAGAATTCATTTATCACCTAACCTCTGTAAGCTCAGGATGTTGATAGCAAACCATATTTTGTGTCCCAGAAATTATTGCTAGTCACTGAAAAGTTTGGGTACTTTTCTTTTTTTCAGAGCAGTTATCCGTAAGGGATCACAAAGCCTTTGGGGAAAGGCTAGGATAAAGGTTTGTACTTAGTACAATGTTTCAGCAGCATCCTTTGAAATAATATTTGGGCTACACTCAAGCAGCTCTGGGTCTGGGATCTGATTTAGGTCTAGGAATGGGGTGACAAGTCATGTCTCTCGCTCATGAGATGCCTCTGTTCTCCAGACCTAGAATTGTGCTTTGTTGGGTTTCTGCTTTTTGTTGTTACACAAATCTAAGACTTAGTGGGCTTGTTGAGTTCATGGCTATAGTATCCTTGGGATCCTACAATTAATTAACTACAACCAGAGAGCTCTGTGAGTCAAGACCAACGTGTTTCGCACCCTGCTGCCTATTATGATAACCAGGGCCCACTGTTCTTCTGGTAATTAACTGTCTCCACCTGGTTTCCTCCCATCCCCGTTTGCATCTGGGAGTGTATTTCAATTGCAGCTGCTCCTACCAGCATTCCTGCCTTATAAAACAGCCAGTAGGGAGATAGTTTTGTTTTGGTTTGGTTTTGGTTTAAAAACACTTCTGGAGCTTTAACATATGCCTCATGACAAAAATCAGAGATTCTTTTAAAAAACATAGCAAGGGAATAACGGGTGAGTTAGAAGCTTGTGATAGAACCAATACAACATTCTTGCCTCCCCAAGTTTTTTAAGCATTATGTCCAATTGGGGACATTTGAGGTCAGTGTTTGTTTCTATTTCCCACAGCAATTACTCCAAGCCTTTGCTATTCCTCTTGCACTTCTTACCTACTCCTGCCTTACCTCTAGAAAATGACCCTGCTCCGACTCCCAGAGACGATGGAGGCTCTCATAGATGAACCCCCTCAATTTCCAACCCAGGCTTCTATACTAGCTTCCTTCACATCTATCCTCCTGGTCTCAAAAGGTGAGGGGCCATTCATTCTACCCATCCATCCTACTCCTGAGTCTATCCCCCCAACTCCTCGGGGACCATGACCTTGACCTTTGGGTATTATTACACAGTCATGTATATTCAACATCTCTTTACAGGCTCCTTTCCTATAACATAAAATTATGCTCTAGTCCTTTTTATCTTACACACACAACACAGAGAGAAAGAGGCAAAGAAACAAATTCTTTTGATCTACACCCCTCCCTAGACATTCCTTCATGGCCAACTCCTTGAATAAACAATCCACACTCATTTTCCACCCACTTTTTCATCCACCATTCAATACGCAATCCAAAGCAATCAGCCTGCTACTCTGGACACCTTTCTGAAGTTACTTTTACCAAAATCATCAATGACAATCTTCTAATTAACAAATCTTAAGGACTTTTCCATCTTTTTCACCTTAGATGATCTCTGCTGTTTACTCTGTGTGTCCCCTCCATTTCTGAAAATCTCTCCTCTGTGGATCTCCATGATACTGCTGTACTGGGCTTGGCTCCTAGCTTTCTGCTTTATTTCTTATTTCTGTTATTCCACTAAATGTTCGTGTACTGCAGGGCCTATCCTTGGCCCTTCTCCTTCTTACTCCTCCCTCTTCCCGAGGGACCTTTTTCACTCATGGTTTCAGCTTTGGCTTCCAAAAGGCACGTTCATTCGTGCAACAAGTATCTTTTAGCTCCTACTATGTGCCAGGCACTGTTCTAGGAGATGGACTACATCAGTGAGCAAAACAAAGTTCCTGTTCTCCTGGTCCTGACCAAGGACAAGCAAAAAGCAGATACTTAATACATAACATCAAGTAAGGATAAATGCTCTTAAGGAGAATAAACCAGGGTAACGGAGTGAGAAGGGGCTGCTTTAAATGGAGTATGTAGAAAACACTTTCGTTTAACCTCTATGGCAGTGGTTCTCAATGTGTGGACATTTTATAAAAATGCCAATTCCCAGGCCCCACCCCAGCCCTGCTGAATTAGAAACTGGGGGGGATGTGGGGGAGTGGTGGTGGAGTGCAGCAATGTGTTTTCATAAGCCCTCCAGATGGTTCTGATACATGCTAAAGTGAAAACCACTGCTGCTGAGCAGTTTCCCACCACACATGCCATGAATAGATTACGGTGTGCAGTTTACTAATACCCATTTTCTCAATCCATAGGGGCAACTTGAGTGTTGGGGGCAAGGGGGTGCTGGGAGCCCTCCAGCCCAAAGTAGCCTCCACCCAGTAGACTTTTCAGAAGGCAACCAAGTGGGTGGGGTTAGCTGGCTTGCCCACAGACCTGCAGGTAGCAAGTAAGAGCCATTCAACACTCACTGATGTGTTCAAGATGCTGGGTGATGCCAAGGACTTACTTCCATCTCAGGACAGCCCCTGTGGATCCGCGGAGGAAGTTCTCAGACCAGATGCACAAGGAGGCTGCACCGCACAAAGCGAGGTCCACCAGAAGCTGGGCCAGGGAAGGTTGTTTGGGTGTGTCTCCTGGCGCTTAATGGCAGCTTCCAGTCCAGCTGCGTTGGCGCTGCTCTTACTAATGCATGTGCTGGGCTTCCTCAAGTGTCATTATTTTTTAAATATTTGTTATGAAAAAGCTTGGATTCAGAATCCATTGGCATCATCACAAGTATCAAATTACATTTGCTGATGAAAGAAGAGTCGATTCATTAAGCTCAACTGTTGTGAATTTTTAAGTAATTGTAAAAATGGTTTTAAAAACTTTTTAATTTCACAATGTGTTTCAAATCATCATGTTGTGCACCTTAAATAGATGCAATTTTTATTTGTCAATTATACCTCAATGAAGCTAGAAGAAAATAAGTAAATAAAAACTTTTAAAACTGTGAATGTTTCCCATCAACAGTAAAAAAAATTTTAAAGAGCTTATCTTAAGCTCTATGAATTATGAATTTCATATACGCATCTCAAATATAAAATGTTTTTGTGGAAGCGCAAGCTTTTTTTCTCAAAGTGTATTTTTTTAATTGAGATACTTGACATGTAACATTAACATTAGTGTCATGTGTACAGCATTATCCAATATTTGTGTGTATTGCAAAATGATCACCACAATAAATCGAGTTAACATTCCTCCCAACACATAGTTACAAGAATGTTTTTTTTCTTGTAATGAGGACTTTTTTTTTTTTAAGATTTTTATTGGGGAATTGGGGGGATTGGAACAGTGCTGGGGAATTGGGGGAAGGGGAACCGATAAGCCGCTGTCGTTTTGTTCTTGTAATGAGGACTTTTAAAATCTACTCTCTTAGCAACCTTCAAATACACAATACAGATACTTAAGGTCAGTACAGTCAGGGGAAGTGGCTCTGCCAGAGATGCCTGCAGTTATAACCAAATGCTCAGCCTATAAAGGTGGAAACCTCCATCTTAAGTATTCTAGTCCCTCACAGACCCTCCTCCATAACCCCACCTGGTCAGCAAATTCTGTACATTCTCTACCTCAGAAATTTCCTGAGTCCAGGCCATCTCCACTGCCAAAGCCTCAAATCCAGCTCTCATCACCATTACTTTCCTAGACCACTGCTATGCCCTCCTGGTTGGTGTCTCTGCCATCTACAAATTGAGAAAGCCAAATTTAACAAAGTCAAATTAAGAAAGCCAAATTTAAGTTCCTGTAGTTTCTTCCAGATGTAAAATGGTAAGACTTGCAATTTGATCTAGTGACAATGAATTCCAGCTTTTCCATTAAATAATTCACATAAATCAATGTTCACTCCTTCATTTATCCATAGGGATATACAATTCCCAAACGCTAAATGAAATAAGTGTAATAATTTAGAAAGCCTTAAAATCTTCCATGACCTTTTTGTCTTGGAAACAAACTCAAAAGTCAACAACTTTAATTAGTCCTCCCTTCTTCTGTCCTAACCCTGTTCGTACAGATGTCAGCCGTGTAACAAATCCAAACAAGGAGTAAAGTATTAAGAGTTTAAAAATGTGTACGTATAACATTTTCAACAAAGGGATGACCAACACTTTCAATTAAAAAGGAATCTAAAAGAAAACAGCAATATCACTCCAAGGGTAGATGAGGCCAGCCAGCTAGAGACTCATTCTGCCACCTCAGCACTCCCCACCTCCACCTTTCAGAGATGCTGTGTTGACCTTTTTACTATGGAACGGGATGCACTTTCTCAGCTATTGTCATTGCCATTCATAATCCCAACAGGCCTGTGTTATGAGCATGTGCTTGTATTGCTTGTTATGTATGGATATAGAAATGAAGTAACAATTATGTAACTTGTCAGTGGTCCCACAGCAAAGGAGGCTGAGGACAAGCACCCAACAGGGGCCCCAACACCAAGTACAGCCTTTTCTCATCAGTTTTTTCTCCTACAAGAAATCCCTATGTCTTATTGGGAGACAGAGAATATATTTGAGAATATCTTTTTTTTTTCAGATATCCTGCCAATTCTTGGAGTACAAACAGGTGAATTTTTAGTTTAAGAGTTTAGGACTCTAAATCAAATTAATTCATAACAAAATCAAAGGCTGAGAAAAAAATAAGTGCTACAAACAGTTTCATACTCTTCTGAACAGGGAAATCTTTACAGGATGATAAACTGGCTCTATAAATAGCAACTATTTAATTGGAGTGAATACCAAATAATCATGACACTTTCCCCTCTAGGGGCCAAATACAGCTTCAGAATTTTTCTTGTTCTATTGCTCTAGGCGGGAACTATTAATTTAGGCATGTCCTCCTTTAGGTAACCCATGCAAAAATCAGGTTTAGAGAGTAAAAACCAACTCTATTTAAATTACTTTATTGCTAATCTTTTATTTACTTTATTCTCAGTGGCCTAAGTTGGAATATATGGAAGAAAGTAGTGGATTGGTTTTTCCAGGTCCTCATTCTTTAATAAGATTTTTGAGAGTAAAAAGGCTATCGCTGTGTGAACTCAATAAATATTGAAAAATAAAAATAAGTGACCATTCTATCATCATGTGATCTGAGCTATTTGAATAGACTCATAAATCTTGACTTTGAAGGTTTACCTCCACCAATCTCCCATTCAGTGAGAAATAAGTTATTAATAGGGAGTAAAAGAGAAATCTATTCATTGTTTCAAGTTCCTCGGGATCGAGTGGGGCAGCACCCCCAATTTGCTGCTGGATGGAGCACTGCCAGTGAACCTTGAAAAAGCAAACCCCTTGCCTTCATCAAGGAAGTATATGAACAGGGTCTAGCAAGGACAAAAGGGTCCCTTCCCTCAAAACAGAAGTTAAATCCAATCCCTTCCCTTCTACGATCCTTCAAGAAGCATTACATCCTCAACAGGCTTAAGCATTAGTAAACATAAGTTCATAAAGATAAAGATAAATGAGAGAGAGAGAGAGGGAGGGAGGGAGGGGGAGAGGGAGAGGGAGAGGGAGAGTCTAAAAGAGTTTTCCTTTCCTCCTTTTAAAATGTAAATCCTACCCGGAGTAGTCAGCCAACACCATTACCATTTAAAGCATTAGCAAGAAAGAGAAGAGCCCGGATATAACATAAACTAGGGGGAGGAGCAAGGCACCTTTGGAAGACCGCAAGGGCGGAATGGGTGGGCTCCGGGAGAAGTTTCTCATTTTACGTTGAAGTTACCCTAATGCGACCACCGCTTCTCTTTCCTCAAGCTCTCGAGCACCACGCGAGGACCACTAACGCAATTTCCCTCTGTGATTACAATTCACAAGGCGGAGTGCCATCGCAGCCGTCTGCGGTGGCATTTCAGGCAGCCGAATCTTCCTTGCAGCTCAGATCCGTGTCTATAGAAACAGTTTAAACCCCGCGGCCTGGCACACGGGCTTTCCCCCAAGCTCACTGGTGAAGGTCGCACCCAGTCTGGGGGCTGGCGGGCCCTGTCTACAGCTCCTCCGAGAAGCAGCGGCCCCGCGTCCCCGGGAGCGGAGCCACCGCCCGGCAACCCGCCCCGGTCCCGCCCCCAGCTGCAGCCCCCGGTCATTAGGGTCCCTTCGCAGACGCCCCCGGCATTCCCGCCGGCGACTTTGCAGAGACCGCGCTCCCGGGCCCTGCCGCTCTGAGGATGGAGAAGAAAGCTCGGAGCTCCTCCAGAGAGTCCCACGGCAGAGGCGGCGGGTCCCCACACAAGGAGAGCAAGAGGGCGAAGGCCGAGGCAGGCGGCGGGGGCCGCGGGCGGCGGGCTGCGGGGCGCGAGCAGCGGGACCTCGGGCGGGCAGGGAGCCCGGCGGAGACCCGAGCGCCCGGCGCCACCGTCGTGGACGTGGATGAGGTCCGGGGCTCCGGCGAGGAGGGCACCGAGGTGGTGGCGCTGCTGGAGAGCGAGCGGCCCGAGGAAGGTACAGACGGCAGGTTGGGGATTCGGGAGGGCGCGAGGCTTTCCAAGTGGTACCTAAGGGATGTCAGATAAAAGTGGGATGAGTCACCGCGCGGGGCCACCAGGGCCAGAGCTTCCTGCTGGACCAACCCCCGGGGGTGGCTGCCAAAATGCATCAGAAGAAAAACCAAACACTATCCATTAAATACCGTTGGTCTCAGGGGCCAGCTGTGGATGGGCGGTGGGAGGTAGTATGGTCCAGGTTGAGGACCAGCCCTCATGGCGAAGGAACCACGCAGCCGGCTTTGGGGGGCGTGGAAGAGTGTATGCACCTAATTTAATAAAGACACCCGTGAGCTGGGGGTTCCGAGCAACGACTCCGCTTACGCTTCTCTCCTCGCCCCAGCCCTCGGCCTTACCTGAGAGCGTTTTAAACTTTCTTTGGGATGATTTTTTTTTTCTTCTCCTAAACGTAGAGGCAGCAGAGCCAAGTAGAGAAGAGAAACACCTGAGTTTACCTCTCAGCTCAGCTACTTGCTCACCTTGTGGGCTTAGGCGGGGCTTTAACCCTCTGTGTGCCGGAGGTAACACCAGTACCTAGCTCAGAGGGTAAAAGGAGATAAGGCATCCGAAGCACTGAGCTCAGAGCCTGGAGCAAAGAACAGATTCAGCTAGAACAGGATCCTGGCAAAACAAGAGAGGAAAGTTAGGCCAGACGAGGGAATCACAGGGAAAGGTGTCTGTTTGGCTTCTGCAGGTGAAGCCACCGTTAGGAACAAATTTACCTACCTGCTTCCAATCCTTTTTATAATCAATGGAAGAGAAACCTCATTTCACCTTAAGTGTACAATGAGGGAGGTTTAAAGGAAAGCACAATAAATAAGGAATAGTTGCGTTATATTGCTTTCTGCTGACTATGAAATTTTAACATTTCCTGGTTACCAGCAATGCAGTATATGCCAGAACGTTGAAAGCTAGATTTGAGAAAGATTCGTGCAGTCAGGGTATAGTTTGTATGGACCATGTTAATGCTGTTTTGCCCAATTGATCCCTTTTCATCAGTCAGTAACTTCCAGTCATTAAACGGTTGTTAGGCTCAATGCCACAGTAAAGCTGAGATTAGAGGCTTCGTAAGTGTGTGCTTCAGACCACATTGGTGGGGAGCCCCCATTCATGGAGCCTCTATAATGTGTCAAGCACACACTAGGTATTTTGCTGAGTATTATCATTCCCATATCACAGATGAGAAAAAATGTTGATAAATGAAGTAGCTTCCCCCAAGACCTACAGCTAAGAAGTGGAGAAGCCAGAATTCTAGAGTAAGACAGTCTGGCTGAAAAGCTCATCTTTGCATGGTGCTGCCCCTGATTCCTGGTCATGGTCCCAGCACTGCCCCAACCAGCTGTGGCCTTGGGCAAGTAGCTTCACCTGTGTGGGCTTCCCTCAGTCTCTCCAGCTATCAAGTGACTACAGCCTGGGACCCAAGCCATGGATGAGAGGTCCCACTGAGGATGAGGCGGCCTTGCTGGGCCCTGTCTGGGAGGTTTCTATGGCTGCCAGGGGGAAGGTGAGCAAGAGGCAGCAACATCCCTCTTCTTCCTCACTTAGCAGGGAGGCTACTTAAGACTTGGGAGAAACAAACAGGAGCTTCGCTCTACCACAATGCTGGGATTCTCGGACTATGTCCTAGCTAAAGGCTCTTCTTGCCTTAATGTTTAATAGTTTACTATTCACTTAAGTCAGATATTCGAGAAACTCATTCCAAGAGAAGAGTATTTTGGCAAAGCTTCAAGTTAGGCTTTGGGTCTAACTTGTATTTGTATGTGAATTTATTTGTTTTTACTTGCCATGGTTACCACTGGCAAGGGAAATATACCAGAGGTGCCAAAAAAATGTATACAGGTGGACACTTTGGTCACCGTTGCTCAAGCAGTAGTTTACCATCATCAGAAGTGTCTGGACACTGATGGTAACCACTTTGAGCACCTCTTGTAATTGCAGAAGTCAAACGTGACTTGTATTCATCTTTTGTTATCGGTATATATTATTATAATTTTAATACAGTTTTCATTTCTTAAAATGTGTAAACATTTTTTGGACACCTTCTGTATTTATAAACTAATTAAATATGGCAATAACACTGTGATTGCCCTTAAGGAAGAACATTGGGAAAACTAACATGATGTTGACGGAGCAGCATTTCCCAAAGTAGGTTGCATGAGAAATAAATTCCACAGAGCGTGAATTTCCCTGGAGAAAACATTGCCTGGTCAAACATCTGGGACGTACAAACTTCCCTTCCAGGAGCCTGCTCCAGTTTGCACAGGTCTACACACCCTTCACACAGACAGTACCGCAGCACTGTGAACTGACTGCCCTAATATCCAGCTCTCTCATATTTCCACCAAAGTCTACAAATGGCTCTCACCTTAACATGGAGGGCTGGACCAACAAGTGCTAGTCAGTGCGTATGGCAAAGTTCCAAGATAATTATTCTTTTTTTTTTTAAGGTACCAAGTCTTCCGGTTTAGGTGCCTGTGAGTGGCTTCTTGTCCTCTCATCCCTGCTCTTCATCATCGTGACCTTCCCTTTTTCTGTCTGGTTCTGCATAAAGGTGAGATTCCATGAGGACCCAGTAAGTAATTTCCCGGTGCCTCTCACCGACTACACGTCTACTCTTTCTCTGTGTTCTGTGTGCTCTGCATGGAATGCCCTCCCCACGCACCTTCCCGGAGAGAACTTCCTCCTTTAACCTTGTTCAGATGTCACTGTGAAGCCTTCCTGACTCCCCCAGGCTGTCCTTGCCTTCCTGTGCTCTCGTGTCGCTGTGCTTTCACAGGTATTCTAGCACTTACCGCAGGTATAATATTGGCCGACACCTGACCTCTCTCATTAGACTGCAAGCCACTTCAGGACAGGGGCTACGTCTAGGTCATCTGCGCTCTGTAGCACAAAGGCAGGCCCACAAGAGATCATGACGTCCACTTCTGCCACTCCCAGGAAACTTCTCAGGCAGCTTCCATAGACCTTGAATTACAGTTATCTTTGGCTCGCAGGTGGCTACACTTGCCTGTCCCTGAAGTAAATGAAGACCTGTGTCAATTTGGGAAGCATATGCTAAGACAAAATTAGAAGTGCAAGGGGTTTGTTGGGAGGCAACGTCTGTGAAAGATTAAGGGGCGAGAGAACAGCAGCAGGTAGGGAAAGCCTTCAGACAATGACGCAGGTCTGACACCTGTGCTATGAGACGAGGAAGGAAAGGTTGGACAGAAACAGCCTCAGACTGTGGTGCAGCTCTGTGAGAGTCTTGGCCGGCCTAAAGGAGAACTCCAGAGCAAAGCTCGCTTCATAGAGGAGTCTCGCGATGGGCAGAAATGGCCAGGCCCTGGTACCCCTGCCATCGTTAGTCATTGGCTGGAGCTGCCAGATAAGAGCATGCCCTCGGCTGGAACACTCCACATGCTGCTGGGGCCTTGCTGATTGTGCTCCTTGTGCAGGCTCTTCCTCTCCTCCCCCTCCTCTTTCCCCTCCACCTCCTCTACTTCCTCCTTTTCTCCGTCTCCCCTGCTCCTCCTCCATGAAAGCATGTTGGATTTTATCAAATTCCTTTTCTGAATCTGAGATAGTCACATGGTATTTATCCTTTATTCTACTGAGATATGGTGTCTTACATTCACTGAATTTTGGATATTAAACCAGCGATGTGTTCCTAGGATAAGTCCCACTTGGTTATGGTGTATAATTTTTTTAATGTTACTGGATTCAGGTTACTGGTAGTTTGTTCAGGATTTTTGCATCTGCATTCATAAGAGAGATTGGGTTGTAGTTTTCTTGTGAGTCTCTCACTTGTTTTGGTATCAGGGTAATACTGGCCGCAGAAAATGAGTTGGAAAGATTTTCCTCCTCTTCTATTTTTGGGGGGAGAATTTGTGAATAACTGGTTTTACTTTGTCTTGAAATGTTTGGTAGAATTCACCCGTGAAGCCATCTGGTCCTGGATTTTTCTTAGCGTGAAAATTTTAAACTACAAGTTCAATCTTTTACTTCTAGGTCTTTTCAGTTTTTCTTTCTCTTCTTGAGTCAGTTTTGGCAGTTTGTGTCTCTCTATAGGATTTTGTCCATTTCATCTAAGGTATCTAATTTGTTGGTGTTATAGTTTATAGTATTTTCTCTTATAAGATTTTTTATTTCCATAAAGACAATAGTGATATCCCTGTAATCATTCCTCTGATTCCTGGTTTTGGCAATTTGAGTCTTCTCTCTTTTTTCTTGGTCAGTCTAGCTAAATATTTGTCAATTGTGTTATCTTTTCAAATAACCAACTTTTGGTTCCATTGATTTTTCTCTATTAGTTTTCTATTTTCTATTGCATTTATTTCCATTCTAATCTTTATTATCTTCTTTCAGCTTGCTTTAGATTTAGTTTGCTTTTCTATTTCCTGTGTCCTAAGGTGAGAAATAGGGTGTCATTTTGAGATATTTCTTGCAGTTTGAAACAAAATATAAGACGTAGTATTAAGCTATCCTCCCTCTTTCTGTTAAATAGCTAATAATTGATACATATAAAAGCTAATAATGCAGAAGTCACAGAAAAATACAAAATTGAACATGACTCTGATCAAAATTCTGACTATGGGCTCAAAAATTAACATGGCCAATATACTTTTCCATTGCTTTCTGAAATTCTACACTTACTAAATATAGAATTTGGAAACCAAAGTATTAAGTTTTTTCTTGGTTCTCAAAACAAAAGATTTCTGATATCGAGGATCATTCGTGCAAAGGCCTTTGGAAAACTTTCTTTTTCTTTCTTGGAGTGATTCAAAAGTATTACATTTCCTTTTAGGTTGTACAGGAACATGAGAGAGTAATTATATTCCGACTGGGACATCTGCTCCCTGGAAGAGCCAAAGGCCCTGGTAAGAACCATTTCTTTTAACCCCCTGTAGACTTGCCAATTTCTTTAATCCATGCATATTTGTAGTATGGACCTCAGATGACATGAAGTAACTTGATTCATGATATCTTCATTTTCTAATCTGTTACTCATAAAACAGCTTATTAAGAAATTCTTCAGGAAGCATTACTATCAGGTCACAGTGGTCAAGAGAAAGTCTGGGTGCAGAGAGCCAAATTCCAGGGCCAGGCTGGCTGGAATAGCAAAAGCAGGCGTAGGACCCATGGCCAGGCACTGGTTTTAGTAGAATGTGTGTATGGCCAAAGTCCTGTGAATTCTCAGAGATAAGCTGAGCTATTAGTCTAGGGTCCAAAATTCAGCATCCAAGTAACAAATGGCTCTTTAGTTGGTAGAATTTAAGAAATATAGACTGAGCACTTCCTGTGTTTCAGATACTGTGTAACTGCCAGAAAAATGAAGAGGGATGAATGAGACATGGTTTCCCATAGCCAGGACCTTAAAGTCTAGTGGAGTTGATGTCCAGAGATCCAAGCTGATAATGGGCACAGATAGAAATATGGTTAGTGGGAAAAGTTGAGTAGTTGGGGTTCGGAGATCTAAGCTAGCCAGGAAGGCGTAAGAAGGAACAAAGGCCCACTATGCATGTACTGGAAAGGGTCCAAGTTCCAAGCCAGGTCGACAGAAGCAGGTAGAGAACCGAGAACAGACTAGAAGACACAAATCAGAATTTGAAGATTTGTAACCAGCAGACCCTATAGTTCCAGAACAGGGACTGGCTTGTTCTGGTTCTCGTTTTTGGCATCCTTCTCAATTAGGGCTAGAAAGGACTAATAGCTGGGCTGCTCCTTAGAGAGATCCCGGGTTCTGTGAGGTGCTGCTACTTCCAAGAAAGCTTTGCCTCTTGCAGGAGCCCACCGTGTCCAATGAGATCTCAGAAAGATCTCAATCTAAAATATGTATTGCACACTGACCCTGTACATTACATTGGATGGGTAAGGAATAACTAACCAACCAGAAGGCTGGTATATGATACCACTATTCGGATTACCTCTGCGGCTCACCTTTTAAGAAATCACACATGGAGGTTGCTGGCTCTAAAGTTTGTCACCTTGGCACATGCATGGATTCAAAGATAATTTTACAGAGCACCTAAAAGGCACTAAGGTGCTAAAGCTAACAATAGTGCATAAGACACTCTTGTTAGGGAGTTTAAATCTCATCAAGGAGACAGACATGCACCCCAAGACGCAAAAGGGTCAGCACCATGACCAAGGGGACCATACGGCCCATTTTGCTGGGAATAATCTCTGTTTACACCTGTTGTCCTGAAGTAAGTTGTAACAGTGCTCTCCTTTCACCCTCAAAGGTATCCCAGATTGAATAACAAAATTATATGGTAACCTTAGCAACAACAAACACATTATAGGGGTGGTGGTGGGATTGCCCAATGGCCTGTGTGTAGTTGGAGGCTAAGAAAAGCAAAGCAATGTGCAATTTGACCCCAAAAAGGTGAACCCCAAATAGTCTCTATGCTGGCTATTCACCTGGCACCCCCCCCACCGCCCCTCTTCTAGGCCTGTTCTTCTTTTTGCCCTGCCTGGATACCTACCACAAGGTTGACCTTCGTCTCCAAACATTGGAGATACCCTTTCATGAGGTAAGCCAAATGATAGATTTTGCTTTCTCTCTGCATTTTACATAGCTGAGCTACAAATTCTGGTCCTGGGCAAAATGACTATTTAAGATCAAAAGTAGAAAAGGGGAAATAGTGATATGAACTACTTCAAAGTGAAAAACTGTGCATCAAAGGACACACTCGACAGAATGAACAGGCCACCAATGAAATGAAAGAAAATATTTGCAAATCATATGTCTGATAAGGGGTTCATATCCAGAATATATAAAGAAATCTTACAACTCAACAAGAAAGCAAAAAAACAATTAAAAATGGGAAAAGGAATTTGTGATGGTTAATTTTATGTATCAGCTTGGCTAAGCTATACCCAGATATTTGGTCAAAAGCATCCAGGTGTTGCTGTGAAAGTATTTTTTAGATAAGATTAATATTTAAATTAGTAGACTTTGAGTAAAGCAGATTACCCTCCATAATGTGGACCTCATCCAATTAATTGAAGGTCTTAAGAGAAAGACTAACCTCCCCTCGAGGAGGAGGGAATTCTGCTAAGAGACTGCTGTCAGACTCTAGCTGCAACATCAGCTCTTCCTTGGGTCTTCAGCCTGTTTACCTACCCTAAGATTTTGGACTTGTCAGCCTCTACAATTGTATAAGCCAATTCCTTAAAATCTCTCACTCATTCATCCTCTCTCTCTCTCTCTCTCTCTCTCTCTCTCTCTCTCTCTCACACTCTCTCACTC